TAAAGGAAATGAGAAGAGACAACTTTCAATTTATTATGTTTACTCTAACACAGTTATAATAAAATACGTTATTAATCAAACATATTCAAAAATTAGAAATAACTAAGAAAATTTCTTCAACTGACTTATCTAAAGAAAAAACTCAATGATGAGAAAAAAATTTTTTAAATACTTCCCATCTCAACATTGCTTTTTTGTACACATTAAGAATATCAGCCCATAAGCTGTGAATCAATCTGTAGTTATAGAACCATAAAGAAATTACTGAAATAGCAAATGGTCCCAAAAATAGCAGTGTAAACATCCCCAAATGCATTTTTTGAAAGACATGATCCTAAACATGCAAATACAGCTTTACATAGCCTGGACCTCAGTCACAACGTGCAAAAAGGAGGTTGGATTTACAACTCTATCATTTCATTTGTGTAAATTAAGTAAATATCTTTGACAATCTCTAAGATTTTTAAATCATATGGAATAGATACTCTATGTCTGACAATAACATTTTAAAATAACTTCTAACATAAACAAGGTTATGAAACAATATATGAACTCAAATCCTCTCCCTAATGGAAGTACATGAATTTTGTTTCCCTTTGTAAAAACAACCAACTTGCCATTCTGCCCTTTTATTTTATTTTATTTTATTTTATTTTATTTTATTTTATTTTATTTTATTTTATTTTATTTTGCAGGCTTCCCATTTGTCATAATGCAGCAATTGCTCCATCATTTGAGATTTTCTAGCATTTCTTTAGTTTGTGATCAATTGACTACAACTTATGCTGATGAAATATTGAAAGGTGAAGACTCTGGTGTAAGTAAACTCCCCAAGATAAACAGCTAGTAGAAACAGGCTATGGCAAGTATTGCCATGGTATGGTTGATGCTCACGATATCACAGTTAGTAGTGGTCCTTGCTCTTTCAAAAGGCTTTTTCTTCCCGTAATGATCTCTCCCTCTAAACTCACTCACCAAAACATTGTTTTGGCAAGTAATAAAAATACTAACTTATAGGATTTACTACACTTCCATGTTAAGTATATCAAATCTTTGAAACTAAACTAGGAAGTACTAAAATAAAGAAGTTAAGCTCTGGAAACAGACCGTGGGGTTTATGCCAAGAATGCTAGAATGGCTTAATCTTACAAAATCTATTAATATAATTTGCTCTATTAATAGGTCTCAGAAGAAAAATCAAGTGATTATCTCAATAGATGCTGATTTTAAAAATTTTCTCAAAGTGGGCTTTAAGAAAATTCAAAACCCACTCCTAACAAAAACATATGAGGAAATAAGAATGAATAGGTATTTCCTTAATATGAGAAAACTCTAAGGCACAACCACTGTGGTCTCACACACACACACACACACACACATAAATGATGCCCATTATCTCCATGACTATTTAACTGTTTACGTTGCTATTTATGAGAACACTTGCTAATTCAATAATTTCTTTGTTTGATTCACAGCAGACGGGCTGGTATTTAACAACGATTCAGAAGTACAAGCCAATGCAATTAGATTACAGAAAACAGAGGCAAAAGAATAGGACAAGAAAAAATAAAACTATATCTGCTAATGACATAAAAATATGCCCGGAAATTCCTAGAGAACCAATAATAAAACTAATTCAAACCATAAAAGAATTCAGCAAGGAAGTAAGTTATAAAATGTACATGCCCAAACCAATGGCATTTGTATACAAATAAACATTTAGAAGAGATACTGAATGAGAAACCCTCATTTATAATAACAAAAGAGAGAATTTTTAGGAATTTAATAAGAAATGATTGAAAACCAAGAAGAAAACCATGAAACACTCCCAAGAGACATAAAAACAGACTTGAAAAAATGGAAAGAAATCCCTTATTCTTGGTTAGGATGTCTCAACATCATCAAGATGTCAATTCTTCCTGAGTAAATTTATAAATTTACTGAGATACCAATAAAAAAGTACAGAAAAAGATCTGGTCTCATATAAAAATCTGGTATATGATAAAGATGGCATCTCACATCACTTAGATGAAGATAGTCTTTTCCTCACAAATTGTGTTGAGAAAACTGTATAGTTAGCTGGAAAAAGATAAAATTAGACATATTCCTCAAGAATACGTAAGAATAAACTCCAAATGAATAAGATATTTAAATGTCAAAAATAAAACTATACTAGAAGAAAACATGAATCAATGTCTCTCTAACACTGATATAAAGACTTTCTAATTACAACACAAAATTTACAAGCAATAAAAGTAACATTTGATTTTTCTATATAAAAAATAAACAATTTATATAGCAAAAAAAATACCATATATGAGGTCAAAAGACAAATGACAACTCTGTAAAATATTCACAACATATACTCACAATAAAGAGCTGATATTCCACATTTATATAGAATTCTTAAAAGTTTGGGGGAAAAAAAAAAGACTAAAACTTCTATCAAAAAAAATGAGAAAAAATGCACATGAACATACTTTATAAACAGAGATATAAAAATGGCCCTTCAACACAGAAAAGCATGTTCAACTTTACTTGTAACAGGACAAATATAAATTAAAACTACAAGATGCAAATTCTCACCAATCTCAAAGATTCTCACCAATCTCAATCTTAAAGCTGAGCACTGACAAACATTCTCTCCTTAACCAAACTCTAGTGAGGCTCCTCTCAGCTATCTTCTTAACCATGGCCTAAAAAAATTTGGATGAAACACCTACCAGAGTCTCTAATGACTCAAGTCACACCCCTAGGATGACTTCAGCTCCCCCTTAAAGTGCCAGCCTGAAAAAAACTCAAGGTTGCCAATGTACTTGAAAAAAAAATGTACTATTTGTTCCAACATCTGAAGATAGGGCCCCTGTTCCCCAGTCTCTGTGAGAGGGTAGGAGCCTAACTTCCATAAACATCAGTTAGCAAATACTAATGGGTTTTACATGGACTAACTCCCTTCTCACTTTTTGTAAAATGTTCACTTTTCTGACTCCACTAAGCCCCTGCTCAACCCCTTCCCTCATTTTCCCTTTAAAAAATGCCCAGTCACCATTGTATAAATCAAAGTTGAGTCAGTTCACACTTGACTATTTTCCCTATTACAATAATATCTTCTGATTAAAACCTGTCCTTAACACTTTAGTATCTGGCTTTATCTTTGACATCATATACACTCTGTTGGCAAGGCTGTGATGAAACAGGCACTCACATACATTACTGATGCAAAATAGTACAATCCCAAGGAGGGAAATTTGTCACGATCTAACAAAACCTACATGTGTATTTTTTCTTCAACCCAACAATTCTACTTCTGGGAATTTATACTGAAGGTATACCTCAAACAATGTGAAAATACATATGCACCATGTTATTTATTAAAGGATTATTTGTAATTGCAAAACACTGAAATATATTTAAATGTCCAAAGACAGGAGATTGGTATAACATTATTCATACATACAAAACAGTACTTTGCAGCTGTGAAAAACAATTTTGGGTAATTTCTCACATTTACTTTTATAATTGCTACCCTTACAATGAGTCAGTCTTAATGTTTTCCCTTGATGATATGGTTTGGCTGTGTCTGTCCCCAATCAAATCTCACCTTGCATTGTAATAATCCCCATGTGTCAAGGGCGGGGTGGTTTCCCCCATACTGTTCTCGTGATAGTGAATAAGTCTCATGAGATCTGATGGTTTTATAAGTGAGAGTTCCCCTGCACAAGCCCTCTTGCCGGCACCAGGTAAGATGAGACTTTGCTCCTCATTTGCCTTCCGCCATGATTATAAGGCCTCCCCAGCCATGTGGAACTGTGAGTCAAGTAAACCTCTTTCATTTCTAAATGACCCAGTCTTGGGTGTGCCTTTATTAGCAGCGTGAGAACAGACTAATACACTTGGTTTAGTTTTAGCACATAATTATACCTGACATCCCTCTTATACCATACACATATGACGAAAGCCAATACTAATGCACAGGGTCAGGAAAAGGCTAAAAACTTTTTCCGAGAACAAGGCAAAACAAAAATCCCAAAAAGTTCTGGGCTGCAACTCACCAATCATACACCCAAATAAAGGTACTCCGGTACAAGTCAGTATTTCTAACTTTTATTAGCCCAACTTTGCATAAATTTATATACTATGCAAACAAATTTAATCTAAGTATAGCCCAACATTCTTTCTGGTAGATAAGAGAAAGGCAGTGTTAGTCATATTTTTTCCCAAAGAAAAATTATGACTGTACAAATAATTGTGCTATAGTCCTATAATTAATTTCTATTATACTTGTCACAGTTTAACAAACCAGAAAATTAAAACTTAGACCTACTATCTTCTATTCTCCACCCAACCACTGTCCAGCTCATTATCTGCCTATTTGAAAAAAAGGAGGTCCTTCATTATGTTATCTCTTGAAGATTTGCTGAAATTTAATGGGTTTGGAAGAGATATACACACACAGATGTTTATGTGAATCTTTTTTTCAAAAAAAGTTAGTTACATAGTGAAGCTATAGCAAGGCTTTCTTCCCACTGAACTGATTCAAGTGTAAATAATCCAGAGATCTAGCTAAACCACTGCACATACCTAAACGTCTCCCAAAAGAACCCAAATTTATTATCTTCAAATATATTCACATGTACAAACATAAGACTATGATATATGCAGCACCAGCAAACAAGATGATTCTTGCCTGTTTATATTCTATATAGGCACAAATGTAAAGACCATTTTATTAAATACATATACAATAAATAGTTTAAGGAAAAAAGGTAAGGTGGGATAGATTAAAAAAAAAAACAAAAACAATGTTTTCAATAAATTTAAGCCCAGCTATGTTAATCTCTGAGGGTTATATTGGCAATAAGTTAAAAGAGTTATTCCATTTTAAAATTGAGCCCATTTCCATTATGCCGTGCAACCAACTGGTGTCAATTCTCACAGTGACAAATGCTTCTCATCCTTTTAACATCAAATAACTAAAATCATTTGCAACTAGCATTTTCTTTATTTTTTTCAAGATATGCAGCAAGTTTAATACCTGAAGGTGAACAGAAATGACAACAGGACACAGATGCAATGCTACAGTAAAATGTGGTTGGGGATGGAAGGGGGCAGAGGGACACTGGATATCATCACAGCAACCCGTGAGTGAGTTCTCTGGTGCCCTGAGGAGGTGGTGAGACACTTGGCGTGTGTCACAAAGAATGGAATAAACTAACAACTCTGAAAGACAAGCAGGTGGCAGCATTGCTGAGATGAGACTCGGGGCAGGGGTCTGGAGCTCTGTCACAGAGTGTTAATGCTCAAGGATGCCTGGGCTCAAGAGTGTTCTGGTCAGTATTTTAAATCAGAAGAATGGCTTCTTCAGAACACACTTCCTTCTCTTAACATGAGGTGAAGAAACCCATCCCATTCTGAGTAACTGGGCCCCATAATACCTTGGTCTTTTGACACACAGCAGCACTACACACCACTGCGCTCCCCCAGCCAGCTTCACTCTGTCTGCTAAGCACCCACCCTGCAAATGGATCTCAGAGTGAACAAATCTAGAGGAGGTGGGAGGAGCCACCGTGGTGGGATGTGAGGGACAGGAGTTGGCTGGAGGAACAGATGGGTCCCATGTCAGGTCCCTCCTTGGCATCGTGAAGATTGCTATCACTCAGAAGCATCTTTTCCCCAGGTTTGAAGCCTGGCATCCCAAGGTGGGGGCAGCTGGCACAGCGGAAGGCATCGCCTAGATAGCAGTTTCAACAAGCCGACTTGGGTTGGGAGCTTATCTGTTCCCTCGACTTCTCTTTTTCCAGTTCTTCAGCAAGGCCCCAGGTGCTGTTCTTGCAGGCCTTCCTCTTTTTCCCTTCTCCACAAGAAGCAGCCCACAGGGAAGCCAGATCTGGCTTCTTCAAATCTTTTGGATCCAGCAGCTCATCTGAGTCAATGAGATCCATGCTGTCATCCTCCATATCGTTGGCTGAGAGGGTCCACAGCTTGGCAGCAACAGGGTCCACAGCAGGCTTCACTGAAGGAGAAGACTTCTTGGTGATGGAAAGCTTAAGCTGACTAGAAGAACCCACTTCAAAGTTTGATTTTTTGCCTGTGATCTGAACAAACAGCAGGTGGTCACTTTCATGACCAAGATATTCTCAAACAGACAGTACTTCCTCAGGGGTTAGGGCTCCCACTGCAGCTCTTTCACTTCCATAAGACCAGAAAGAGTCAGGGCTGAACACAGCTTAGATGCTGTCTTCACTTTGCTATTGTTATCTACAGCTGTCTCTTACTGGCTCTTTCAGAAAAAGATATTCACCAGGCCAAAGGATCCGGGCGATTTCAGTCAAAATCTCAGCACTGTGCAGAGTGGTGCTTCCCAGGACTAAACCCGACAAAATAATGTCAAAGTTGGATTCTTTGTGGGCAGACTGCAACAGCTGGTTGATGTTTTCCACAGACCTGCGGCCCTCATTGCCAGTTAACACTTGAAGCTTATCCACCAGACCTTTCAGAGCCTCCACTGGGGATGACTTATCCCAGACCACTGCCACAAACTGGCCAGCAGAGATCCCAAAATCTGCCATTCTTGCAGTGCAGTACTGACGGACCTAAAAACTGCTGGCCAAAAGAGAATCAAGACTGCCGCCCAGTATTTTCTACTTTATAAAAATCACCTCCAAATTTCAAATAGAGAATTTTATTACAAAGACATAAATGAATCATAACCAAAGAGATTCAATGAAGCCAGAGAATAAGCAAATAATTACACAAGTAATCAAAAAATAAAAGGCAGGCTAAGAAAAGGAACCTGAGTGTTCCACCCAAACATCAATTCTTCACATCTGCAGGGCATAATGGAAAGAGACCTAAATTAAGAATTGGAATCCCTGGATTCCAGCTGGCACTAGTTCCACAACTTACCAGTCACATGCCTTAGATAATAAACTACTCCGGTTCTCAGTTTCGCCTTTCATAAATATGTTAGAGATACCTGTATCTTCCTGTTTCATCACTGGTTGAAGTCATTCATTGATTACTAAATACCTACATTGAAACTCAGTTCAGGCTAAGGGGAGACTCATCTGGCATAATACTAGGAATATCATAGCAGAGGAGCACCATACTATAACGCAGTTCTATGTTCACATCACATATGGAAAATAGCAGTGAAAGTCTTGATTGAATCAATTTACAAAATATTCACATAGTAAGACACCCCAAGAGCTAAATAACACGTCTTGAAATTTTTTTAAGAATAGATAAGAAATCGCAATTTAATTACCAAATATTTCTCTGTGTTCTAAAGCTATTTTCCACTGCTACACTACAACTGAAAGCTAGTAGCATCAATTTATTTAGCAAAGATTATAAAGTGAGGGGAAAAGATAAAATAGGCATATAACCTTTGGAAAATATCCCAAGAAATACACAGAAAAAAAAAGGAAATTTTAAGCATCCTAATTTTAAAAAAATCCATAAACTCTATAACAGAGACAACATACATGTCTAATACATGTGGTGATCATAAAAGGTCAACAAATATCCTAGGAGGAAGGATTTGGAGAATATGAACAAACTGGATGTTCTATGCAAGAAGCTCACAGCATTTCCACTATGCTTCACATTCAAACACCACAATTCACTCCTTAATCCAATTTTGATTAACACTTTCACAAAATCCACAAATCTGATTTCCCATCTCTTACCACTGTCAGTTCACAGTAACACTTGGCACCTTCCATTTCTACTATTAACCATCTCAACCAACCCACCTGGTTAAAATAAAAATGATGAAACTAGCTTATCAAAACCAGCAACATCTGAGTCTTGATTATAAAATATAAGTTGAGGCCATTTTCAAAGAACAGTATAAATCCAGAAATTAATATAAGCAGCCTTTATAAGTCTGAGGCACACAATAAGAGAATGTTGTCTTCTGAAAGTTATTTAAATGCAAAGTAAAGCAGTAAATACAGGGGGAAAAGCTGCTAGTCTTTTGCTTTTTATTCTATAATTTACTTTAATACTCATAAGAAATCTCTATAACTAAATCCCTACAAAAATTTCAAAGTAATGCTTTTTATATTAGAGCGTCAAAATGAAAAATCTTAGGGATGGTTGTAATGAATTATTTTGTTCTTGTTCCACGTTTTGATTTAGCACTCTAATCACATCCTAACAAACATAAAGGGAACAGATGTTTTGGCATCCTCACAGAGATCCAAAATTCCCAGTGCTTCCAGCCCCCAAAACACACACACAGTGATTGATTGATTTCAAAAAACAACAAAGAGTTATCAGTATCTTTAGATGAATGCTGTTGGCACTATAAGCTCACATCATCAGAAGCTGCTGGGGAGAATCCTGCTTATCTGAGTGGTTTCTGAAAATATGCTGCTGGTCAAAACAGCACTAGGCCCAGGGAGTTGAAAACAGCTCGGGGTAACTCTGGACCTACAGAAGCGTCTGGGCCAGTATCTAAAATTTAATTACTCCAATACCTAATTACTTCTGTGAGGGCCTACCTATATGAAATATGATTATCTTAAGAAGTTTCCAACCATTGGAAACCAGAGAGGTAGTACTGCATAGTGGAAAGAGCACTGAACTAGATGAAACATGTTTGGGCTTGAAGCCCAACTTCGCAACTTACTTGATCATGACTCCTGCATAGCTATTCCTGTATCTAAACCCCAAAGATTAAAGCAAATCTCCTAGAGTCCCTCTGAAGCTTTAAAAGCTATGAGTCTCCATAGACAAAACTATGCATATGCTTTTAGCAAAATTTTCCTTGTAACTCACTGGTTTCATTCATTATTTAAAAACAACTATAAACGGGGAGAAAAACACTCATTCTCATCTACCAGGCATTTTATCATTAATGCTAAATATGTATATACACATAAGACATGTAATATGTATGATATAAATAATCCCAACTTGGAATTAAGTAACTAGCACTCGTTAAATTGTGAAATAAAAAGTTCTTCTTTAGTTGGCAGGTTATTCTAATTGCTGTTAAATGGCCTTAATCAAATAGATAGCTCAATATTATAAAACAAGCAAAGCATGTATAATCAGAATATATAATTATCTTTCAAAGTTTCAAGTGATAAGATGCTATTAACCCCCATGCTGCCTGAGATCACACACAAAAAGGTAGTATTTAAATACAAAGATACTATCAAATAATCAGGTGTTTGGCAGGTTTCAAATATAGTTTCCTGTTGGGCAAGGTGGCCCAAAAATGGTTTCCTACTAGTATATTATTTTTCCTTTCTGCTGGAAGCTGTGTGCCACCATAGGTTGGCTCTTTTTTACTTCCAATCCAATCCCCCTCCCGGAAAAAAATCACCCAGCAGTCTAAATTACATTGCTAATGTTAAGGGTTCTTAGACATGAACAATATAGAGGCCTTACCAGACCTGAGCCAGTTTCAAATGAAGAGAACACCCCTCCACTTCCAGCCAAGAGAGTAACACTGGTTACCTAGATAAATGGTTACCCAAAGCATGTGCTCCATAGGCACTCATTATTCCCTGGGTGCATTAGAAACAAACAAACCACCATACTGAAAAATCCGGTTAAACCAAGCCAGATAATCTACTGTTCCTTTCACCCGCCCTGTGCTTTCCTACTCTCATGGCATTGCTCATGATATTTCCTTTCCATTCCTGGACACACACTGTTCCCGTTGTGCCTGTTGAAATCTAAGACCCAATTTTTCCTCCCTTGCCAACCTTAAAGAGGTATTTTGACCCCTTGGATACTTTATGCCGTTTGACCTTTTCTTACTCTACCTCTGATCATAATTAATGTGACCTTAACTAGATGATTACTTTAAAGTCTTACTTGTCCTTGCTGATCTAAACTGATGACTAAGTAAGAAAACTGATGACTGTGTAAGAAAAGCTCAGTAGGCCGGGCACGGTGGCTCACACCTATAATCCCAGCACTTTGGGAGGCCAAGGTGGGCGGATCACCTGAGGTCCGAAGTTCCAGACCAGCCTGACCAACATGGTGAAACCCCATCTCTACTCAAAATACAAAAATTAGCTGGGTGTGGTGGTGGGAGTCTGTAATCCCAACTACTCAGGAGGCTGAGGCAGGAGGATCACTTGAACCTGCTGAACCTGGGAGGTGGAGGTTGCACTGAGCCAAGATCACGCCATTGCACTCCAGCCCAGGCAACAGAGGGTGACTCCACCTCAAAAAAAAAAAAAAAAAAGGAAAGAAAAAAGAAACACTCAGTAATGACAAGGGAACTTAACACTTAACAAGTTATAGTGCTAAGAATATGAAGTCTGTGTCTTCTACCAGCATCCATGAAATAGTAACGGCCTAGCTTATTAATTTGCAAGTAGAATAAAATTTCAGACTCTTCACAATTTTTGATGATCCAGAGAGAAAATGGCAGGAAAAAAAGGAAGAAACGAATAAACTTTCTTTGCCTACCTTTTGGTCATTAAGTTTTAATTTTAAAAATTATTGAAACCTACTTAACCTAGAAATCATTACATAAAATCATATACTACAAAATTAGCTAGGCAGTCCATATATATGATAAGAATAAATCTGACAACTGAATTTTTAGCTCATTCTGAAACTGACCTGAGCAAACCAAGTAAATGATAATATTCTTTGAAGTGAAAATGTTTCTCTCTTCAACCAAATATTCAAATTTGTAACATTCAGCAAGAAAGGTCTACTCACCTATCCAACCACATCAAGCAAATTAACCTCAACAATCAATGAAATGTCATTTAACCTCCCTACCATCCCAAATACGCCTGAGTGGTATGCAACACAAATTATTTTTGATATGCTACCTCTGGCATCTGACAATTACGGCATTAAATAAAAGATAATCAGCATTCACGTGCTCAGGGAAAGGGATAAATGCACACTCTGCTGCTCAGGAGTGTAAATTGAAATATCATTTTTTTATAGTGCAATTTAGGAAAGACAAACCAAAAGCCTTTAAAATGTAAAGCTTTGACAGACAATGCAATTTCATTTCTCATGATTTATCCTAAAGAAACAATTAAAGATGTACACAAAGATTTAGCTTTTAAGAATATTTACTACAGTGCTATTCATAATGACAAAAGCTGGAAATAACATAAATATTCAAGAACAGGAAACCAGTTAATTAACCCACAGGACCTCTTACAGTGAAATATCATTTGGCCACTAAAAATTATACTGAAATGGAAAAATTGTTTATAATGTAGCAAGTGGGAAAAAAGTTATAAAACAGTTTGTGGAGCTACTTTTAAAAGCTATCAGCTTATACACATGAAAGAACCAGCTTTGCATGCAGACATATGCATTTTTACTTTCTTCTTTTTGCTTGTGCTTTTCCTACAATTAATGTTTTAGTTGTCTAATTTAAAATATGCACATTTTTGAGAATGTATATTAATGACTGCTTAATTTGAGTCACTATATAACTCATATCATCTCTAACCCTATAAAGACTGTGAGTAACATAAAGACATATAAATAACATACCAGTTTAAGAAACTGGAAAACAGAAAAGGGATAAGGAGGCAGCAGTTAATTCTATAGAGAACCCAAAACAAAATGGGTACTAAACGTGAACATTAACTTTAGCATTAACTTCCTGCAGCTTATCATCCATAGTAAAGAGAGTCACAGTATTGGATGACAGAAAATATTAATTCTTCACAAAAATCCTGAGAATTTAGGAACAAAAACGTGTTTTCACTCAAAAGAATCTGTCTTTGGGGTTTTATACTAATAACAAAATAAACTGTATCTTCTATAGGCACCTTACTAAAGATATTGTTTCACTCTCAAAAAACTGACAGGATTATAATTGAGTAACAAAAAATATTATTTTTAATAATGCAACTTTAAAAGCCTATAAGAATGGAACATTAGATCAATATTACAGTTTGTCTATGATATACTAATATAAAGCACCTGTAAAAAGTACACAGCTCAGAGAAGGTGGTCAGTGTTGGTTTTCTTTCCCTCTCACTTAACCTAAACAGACTAGTTGTGTCAACACCACACCAATTGGAGACAAATATGGCAATCTAATTACCAAGGAAACACCTCCAATGTGCCAGGCACTATGAAAACACATAATGAAATAATTTTGAAAGCTGTTTCTAACAGAAACATTTTATTTTCTCCCAAATAATATATATGAGTGTGTATGTATATGTGTGTATATATATAGAGAGAGAGTATATTTTTATATAGCACATATTTTTAGTACATTATGAAATTCATCATAAAAACAGAACTCAAAGCTCATTAAAATCATTTGGAAATGAACAATTTCAAAAATAGTTGAGAAAACTTCAGGCAGCCTAGCCAACCCTATTATCCTAAAATTAATCAATAACATCCTAATTAGCATCTTGAAATAAGCTCCCCCGGAAAACCCATCAGTCTGCCAAAGTAAAGTTATCTTTAAGAAGGAACAAAAAATCCTTATGAATACTTCATAAACTTTCAAATAAACCACAAAGTGTTTATCTACAAAGGTGCTAAATTAAAAGCTTCCAAATGTTGTCTATAAATCTCTGCAAATTGGTGTAAAAATGTAGGGTACATCAAAATGTAAATGCAATCACAAATAAGGCTTAATATTTTAAGTAAATAAAAGTACTACTATGAGCCCTTTATATTGTCCCTTTCCAGAAATGAAGTATGATAAATTTTCATTTGGAAATCTTGCTGCTAAGTATTACCAATTTATTTGGGTTTCAAAATAACATACCCGATTTTTTTAAAAAAGTACCTAAACAGCTGGTGTAAAAGCAGTAAACCAATACATTCAAGAAAAGCAGGGAAAACAGACTAAAAGACAGCCAATAAAAACCATGCATCTAATTAAACCACTCAAAAAATATGGTTTAGTAAAGAAAAAAAAGTACATTCAACTGCAAAATGATTTCAAAAAGCTCAAAACCAACTAAACTTTTAAACTCAGAGCAATGGTGAATGGAAACAAATGGCAGAAAATTGACTGGGAAAGGATGCTGCTGGCCTTAAGAACTTGAGGTTCTGTATACCAGAGTAAATAAAAATGGAACACTAATTTCATCCCAGATATCCAAGAGGGTGTTTTTTTTTTTTTTTTTTTTAATTAGTTCAATTTCACTGTAGCTCATTTAGGCTGATATCTAAGAATGGTTTAAAATGATACTATGAATAACGCAAGCAGATGATTATCTCTTTTCATTTCCACTCTTTCCATTTAAAGGAAGCACAATTATTTCCTGTTCACAGGAACTCAATCTCCCTCTTAACTCTGTACCATTCATCTTAATTTTCAATGTTATTTTTAAGCTCTATGTATAATTAAACACTTCCTTCAAAACATTGCTACTGTGCAGAGGATATAAACTTCCAAAATGCCTAGACTCTTTCTTCTCATTTCATGTCAGTCAACACCCTGCACATCTTTTGAGGACTCATCTGCTTCTTGCTCACCTGACGCTCCACTGCCACATTTGCTCTCACACAAGTATATCTTCAAAAATTATTATCAGCTATTCTTAGTCAGAGGCTAAAATGATCCCCCACTGCCACATATGAAAAATAAGAAGCTTACATTCTACTACGAGGTTCCTTCATGAATTATCTCTCTTACCTGAGTTATGCCACAACCTTGATATCTTTTCTTACCAGGAAAATGTATTTAGATTTTCTTTCATCAGCTTTTTATTCAGCTCCTAAGGGTTCTATCTTTCCTCTCCTTAGCTAACCATTATATTTTATATACATATGTATATACATATATATCACCTACTATCACACATACATGTATAATTTTATAATAAAGTACCAGAAGTTTCTTGGGGATAATTTTAGCAAGTATTTACTAAAGATGAAATCAAGAATAATCTATTTGTTATCTGATAATTTAAATATATACACAGCTACTTCAAAAGATTATTTTGTAGTCAGCTTTTTTTTTTTTTTTTTTTTTTTTTGAGACAAGAGTCTCACTCTCTCGCCCAGGCTGGACACCTCAGCCTCCCCAGGAGCAGGGATTAAAGGCATGCACCACTACACTCGGCTAATTTTTTTTTTTTTTTTTTTTTGTATTTTTAGCAGAAGTAGGGTTTTGCCATGTTGCCCAGGCTGGTCTTGAACCCCTGGCCTCCTTGGCCTCCCAAAGTGCTGGGATTACAGGCATGAGCCACCACGCCCGGCCTACAGTCAGCTTTTTTAAAAAGTGAAAGAAACTCAGGAGAAACATAATGATAAACACCTTGAGCACAAAGTTTTGTTCATAAAAAATTTTGTTCAGCTTTTTATTATATAAATGCACAGAGGGGCTTTCTCAAGAAGCATGAGCACAATATATGTCCTTGATTGTTTTAAAAGCATATAAAAGTGGTCAATAAAAGAAAGCAAAATGCACACACACAAACATACTCAACAGATTTAACCAAATTTAAAAAGATGAAAAGACAAAAATCTAATTTGCTTAAAATGTTTGGTCTAATTTTTAAGAGTTCTTTTCTGCTTTAACAGAAAAAAATTGCCAACATAATAAATTGGTTTACCATCTATTAGTGAGAGCAACATTAGAATAAAAAAATTAATAAAACTTATTAGAATAAAAAAGGTGATTGAGTAATTTTATAATATATACTATCAAAGTAAGAACATAAGAAAAATAACAATAAACAACACATTTCAAAATTATTAATATTTACCAAATGATAACTGTACTTAAAACTGAACATTTAAAGACAAAATTATGCAGCTACATCACACTTAAAGTTAATAATCATAAAATCTGTAAAACAGTCCTCATAGTTTCTACAATTAGTTTAAAAAGATATTTTTAGCCACATGTTAACATACATCCACTGTCGTTATTAACTTAATCTTTAATACATCATATATAATACACCCTTCCAGGATACTTATTGTAACTCAGGTAAGAAAATTTCTCTAGTACCCAACAGACATATAACCA